TCCCTCCAGGGCTAAATCATTCAATGAACAGCAACACTGGACATGGAGTTAGGAAGTCCTGAGTTTCAACAGATATTCTCTATGTGACTCTGGGCAAGTCATTTAGCCTTTGTTTGCCTCAGTTTCCTTATCTGTAAAACAGATATTATAATAGCATCTACCTCCCAGGGTGGTTGTGAGGGTAATATTTGTAAAGTGCTTCATAAACCCTAAAGACATATAAATGCTATTTCTTCCTTTCACCTTTTCATTTCCTTCACAGGAAAAGTGTGACTTTGTCCGCTAAATTTTATCATCTAGAGTATACATTTCAACAAAAATGTATCTTCCTCTAAAAGTTTAAATATATATTTTATCACAACTTTTATTAAAAATGTAGGGAAAGTATACTTTTGGGTGCCAATTTATAGTTTCTGGGACCTCTCTCTTAGTTACTGAAAATTGAAAGTAAAATTCTGGGTTTTTTCCCTAGAAAATGCACTGATTTATTTAAAACTGTCTGCCCCATCACCAAAAGAGTTTTTATTTTTGTGCTTTCTGTTTTATATTTGGTTTGGGGTGGTAGTTTCTTTTTTTTTTTTTGTAGTTTCTTTTATATATAATGCTTCACACTCTTGCTCTAAAGATCAAGAATTTTTTTTTAAATTTGATACCTATTAAGTTTCAGAATGTCCTTGAAAAATGATCTTTACTATAAAGCTACATTATACACATAGACAAAACCTTATTAGTAAAACTGAAGAGGTCTAGGGGTTTTGGGGTTCTGGGACCCCAAGACCGCGGTACCGGGCCCTGCTGAATGAATTCAACTCAAATCTTCTTCAGCCAGAGGAAAAGTTTATTAGTGATAAATCACATTGACCAGGTGACGCCCGTAAAGACGAGCGGGCATGAGAGGTTCTCAGCCTTGTGGGCCTGAGATTTTCAGCATCCGAATGAGGGCCAAGGTGGATCTTAAATACTAAAGTCACTTTGGGTGGCCAGAGAAGGGGGTTGGGGAAAGGGTCTAGGTAAGAATTCTAATTGGGGAGGTCAGAGAGATTGAATAGACAATGGGAATAGATAATGGAGGGAACAGGAAGGCAGAAGTTTGAAAGGCATCTGCACAAAATCAAGGTGGGGCTAGGACTTTCAGAAGGAGATAAAGGAAGGTCTTTCAGGGGCCTATAGACAAAAGGGAGCCTAAGGCTTTCAAAGGGAGATGAGGGTCTGGGGCCTGTGAGTCAGATTCCCTTTGAGGCAAAGGGTGAAGATCTTGGCTTGGGCCCCGCCCTCATCAAAACCTTGTTACATGAGCACTGGGCTTAGCAGGGTTAAGAGAAAAAGAATAACTCATACTGACCACCAAGGGAATAGTGAATGAGAGAAAAAGCATACATAAAGTACTTGCTATATGTGCCCTAGGTCTAGGAGTATCCATTTAAACTAAATATCAGTAACCAAAATTTTCCAAAGGGTACTCTCCTCCAGCCTATTGCTTACAAAAGGTCTCACTCTGGGTCCTACTACTTACTCTGAGTCCTACTTGAGAGGCATGGGAGGCGGTCCTTTTATGGATACCCCACCTCCCAACACTGTAAGTACTAATTCACTATTTAGCTAGACCTATGCCACAGGGCCATTAGAAAACTATATATGCTGTTCCTTCAGGTGTATCCTTCATTGCTCTTTAACTTGATCATTTTGACTTTTTTCATGGGCTCTCTATTTTCTCTAACTGAAGCCTCCTTTCCAATAATTTCCTTCCCCTTCCCCAGCCTTTGTCTTCATCTTTTGTTCCTTATCTTTTCTTTTTACACCTTCAGTTTCCCTTATCTTAGTAACCATCTCTGCTTATTTTACCTGCCTTTCCAGAAATTCAAAACTCTTGGTAAGATTTTGGTCTTGCTAGCTAAAGTTATCTGTCTTCCTGTACAAGCCAGGGGGGCTCAGGTGTCTATTTGTTTATTTTTGAAGGCCAGAGGGAAAAGAATTGAGGAACTAGGGGAGGATATCAACAGGTAAACAGTAGTGGAATTGGGATTAGAACTGGGGAATTTTTAGGTAGTCAGCTGGATACACATTAACTTAGTATGTTTTGGGATAGCCAGCTGGGCACACATTATCTTAGCATATTGTCTTTCTTAAGGGCTAAGACAAAAATTGCCTTCTCCTTTGTCATGGGGAAGTGAATAGATTGTGGTTACAAATGGTGGTAATATCAACTTCTTTAGGAAGAAGTTACTTTGGGACTGGCTGATTGGGTATATCAGAATAAAGTCTTCATCCTACAATCCCATACCTTCTTAGGGTCTTGTTGACCTTTCATCTGAGTTTGACCAGAGGCAGAGTGCAGTGGGAAAGCACAAATAAGTTGTGGGTAGTGGGATGGAATGAAGACTTTCCTTTTGAGTCAAAGTTGCCTCCCTATTCATCTGACTTGCAGGAGAGACAGTTTTAGGAATCAGAATATTGGGAGTTTGCCATGGAACCTAATGACATGTAGTGCTGTTTTAGCTAAGGATTCACTTGCCAATACCTGTTGCATCACCAGACAGTATATAACCCTGAGACTAAAGCATGACGCTCCACCTCCTTATAGACTCTGTACCTAGTTTTGGAAGATTCATGCCCCAGAATCTTTGCTGGGATATTTCCATCCTGCTTTCTCCTTAGAATTTACCATAGTTTTCTTTATCACTTCTTTTAAACCACTAGATGGTGTTCCTATTGTGCAGACGTATGCGAATATTCTACTCTATTCCAATAGAAAGGCCCACACAAACTAAAAGTTGAAAATTGTATAGCTAAAATCAAACCACCATGGTGATATCAAAGCATTTTTAGTGACTTTCTCCTGTAATATGAATTAATCATGCAATCACAAAATTGAATATTGAATAACTTTTATGGGTAAGACAATGCTAGGTGCTGCAGGTGGTGGTAAAGATCAGAGATATAATCCCTGCTATCAATCAAATTGAGGAGATAGAACGCATTCTTAAAAGAAAAAGAGGACGAGGAGAAGGAGTTGAGCATAGACTGAGAGGATTCCCTGCAGATTGGACAGGAGGGAAAAGGGTGATGAAGGACACGGAGAAATACCATAAACAAGTCAATGGAGATTGTAGGGAAGAAGTGATAAGGTTGGAAAAGTAGTTTTGGGCCAGATAGTTCAAAACCTCAAGGAGTTTGGGTTTCATTTGATACACAATGATAAGCCATTGTCTCTCTGGAAAGGGAAAAAATGAGGTGATCCAGAACAATTAGAAGGGGGAGACTCCAGATTTTCTGCTTGTCTGAGGAGGGCAAAAATTCAAACAAGCTAGATTACATTTTTTACCCTCACTCCCAATTCAAAAGGTCACTCAGCTGCCAAACACAAAGTATTCAACAGGTTTAAGAATGCAATCATAATAATGCTAATGACAGTTCATTTTTATATGGGCTTTGCAATTTAAATTTTCCTCATAACAATCCCATAATCCCTTCCTTTTTAAATTTAATTTTATTCATTCAACACCTTGTCTCTCTCTCTCTCTCTCTCTCTCTCTCTCTCTCTCTCTCTCTCTCTCTCTCTCTCTCTCTCTCTCACCCTCTCTCCCACCTCCTTCCTCCATCGAGAAAGAAAAGGCCTTTGTTCCAAATGTGTATTGCAAAACAAATTCCCCCTTTAGCCAAGGCTCCCCCCACCCTTTTGTCTCAATCAGCACTCTGAATCCATCACCTCTTAATCTGGAGGTGTGTAGCATGTTTCATCATTAGTCCTCTTGAATAATGCTTGGTCATTGTGTTGATCAAAATTTTAAAGTTTTTCAAAGCTAACAGTAATGTTATTGTAGAAACTTTCTACTCATCTACTCACTTTACTCTGCATCAGTTCATACAAGTCTTCTCTTTATAGTACAAAAGTCTTCCATCCTATTCATTTACCATAACTTGTTCTGCCATTCCCCAGTTAAAGGACACCCAAGATCCTTTCCTTTTTAAACTCATTTTTCAACTAACAAGCATATTTTTTCAATTTTATTAAGTTTCAATTAATTTTTAATTAATAAATATGTATTTTCTATCCACTTGTGGAAATAAAAAGCACCCTTGTAACAATAGTTACATATAGTCAAGCAAAACAAATTACCAAATTATCCATGTAAAATATGTATGTCTCATTCTGCATCTTCAGTCTATTGCCTCTGTCAGGACTGGTGGGTAACATCATCAGGCTTCTGGTAATCATAACTGGTCATTTCATTGGTCAGTCTGTCATAATTGTTTGTCTTTATAATGCTGTTACTATTGTTCTGATTCTTTTTACTTCAGTCTGCATTGGTTCATAAAAATCATAGGCCATAATTTACTCTATCATTCCTCAATTAATGATACCCCTTTAGTGTCTAGCTCCTTGCCACTACAAAAACAGCAGCTGTATATATTTTTAATGAGTCTTTTCAAAAAATAAACTTTGATATCTTTTGTTTTTACTTTGCCTAGATTATTTCTCCTTGTATCCTTTCCCCTCCCCCACATATAACAAAGAATATTTCTTATATGGATCATTTTTCAAAAGTCCCTTCTAATTCTAAATATGTGATCCTAGAAATCTTATGAAGGAAATAGTCTTAAGTATCATCCTCATTTTATAGATGGCCAAACTGAAGCAAGCCCACAAAGGTTAGGTGGCTTGCCCCAAATCACAAAGATGTATGAGCCAGACAGGAATTTGAACCAAGGCTTTCTGAATCCCAGTTCAGCATGTTTCCATTATAAAGTCCTTCCCTCTTCTTAAGGCACCTTTAACCCTTGCTCTCAACGTTCACTTTCTGTGTAAAATGGCTTTCCTTACCTTACTCAGCGAGGTGATTTTGTATGAACAGTCTAGGGTGGGAGCTAGAGCCAAAATAATTAGCCCTCCCTCCTTGCTTTTGCAAGCATCTTAACTATGAAACAGAGAAATTTCGGCCTTTTGAGAGGGGGTTGGGGTGGGGATGGGAAGGATGTGGCTTAAAGAGGGGAGGGAGTTATTGCTTTGCTAGGTGGGGAGGTCACTGAATTCCGAGAGTCACAAGATTATGCTGGGATGGAAGGACAGGTCATCCCCTACACTGGCCCCACCCCTTGCCAAAATTATAAATAGTTGGCTGGAGAAGGTTCCCCCCCCAACCACAGATGCTCTTCCAGTAAAGGACTGAACTTTACCCTCTGTGGCCGAAGACAGCCTGCGTGTGCCTGGGAGACCGCCTCTTCGGGAGGGGAGGCTTCTGGCTCCGGCTCCTTCGGCTTCATTACCAGGGATTTGTAAAGAATTCGGCTGGAGCCATGTCATCAATCAAGGTAAGGATCGTTATATTCCGCTATTCCTGTGTATGTTTTCCTCTTCCATGAGGATGAGGTCAAGTGTGTTGGGAAGGAGAAGGCTGGGGCGGCGGGGGCGGAGGGGAGGAAGGAAAAATGATGCTTGCAAGCATATGATGCCCCTGACTCGTGCTGTACCATCTTAAGGGCCTTAAAAGAAATCCCTCCCCCCTCCTGCCCTGGTATGTCTCCATGCTTCTCTCGGGATGGGAGCTTGGAGGGATTTCTGCCCCTCCGACCTGTTATATCGCAGGGAGCTGACTGCAATGTACTGCCCTTTCTTCGCTGGCTTTCTTTATTGGAAGACCCGAGACCGGGCCAGGCAAGGATGATGCGTAGGCAGGGAATGTGCAGAGGGGGTTCGGGGATGGATGGAGGAAAGGCGGCTCATATGTTTTGGGTTAGGTTTTGCTAACCTATCCTAGAGTGTGTGCCCGGATGACAGGCAGTCTGAATGTCATGCTTAGCCTGTAGGCTCTTGGAAGCTGTGTTTCTTGATGGGAATAGCCTCCTGTGATCATAGCTCCCTGGAACTCCTGGAAGACTCCCTTGGAAAAACAAATTTCCAGCTGCCCCCTACAATGCAGAAGAAGCTGAGAAATTGTAAACACCTTAAGAGTTTAAACGTGTTGAGAGCGTGTGATGGCTGGAGAGGATTGGGGGCTGCGGAGAGGGATAGTATTATTGGTCGATAGTTAAGTAAGGAAGGAGCGTATGAAATGAGAGGAGAAGAAAACATAGCTTGAACGGAAAGTAGTATCCTGCCCCAGGATCACTCCCTCTTTTGGGGATTAGTGGGTGGGGTGTCCCTACCAAGGTCACCCCTCCCAGTTCTGGCCCCTAAGCTACTTCTGCTGAAAGTGGAGGGAGCTGGAGATAAGGACCCTTGAGGCAAAGGGCGGGGAGAGGTATGGTGGTAGTTCCTGGGAGAGGAAAAGGGATTGGTTATATCAGGGTGGAGACTGTAGGGGCAATAATATGTGGGCTTTCCCCAGGCTAGGCTCGTCCAGTTTACTGGGTTGGGAGCCGGGTGGGTCCTCTTTTCACTGAGAGGAAAGCAGGACTCTTTAACGATGGGGGAAGGGCGAAATTTCAGATGGAAGACAAGGAGACATCGTAAGGGAAGTCATTCTGCAAGATGTCTCATCTTAGGGACAGCTAGAGCTAGGATGGCTCTAGGGAATTTTAAAATGATGAGCCCAGAGGAATTAGAGAGCTGTGCTTCCCCAGCATCCTCAGTTCTTGCTATTTCTGGTCATGTCCCTTTGTCTTTAACCAAGATCAGATTCCCAAATGGTTAAAAGTTTGCTTAGCCTGGCTGTTAATACCATTCCTTGACTGAGGGAGTATCTGCCCATCTCAAACTTCCTATGGTTCCCCCTTTCCAAAAAAAGAAACAACTTTTTTTGGAAACGAGTTTACTAGTTCTCCCATTACTTTTCCCCAGTGATATACTGTGCATCCCAATTCAGATTTTCCGGTGTAACTTCGAGCCTGAACGTAGTAGGTTCTTAACAATGGCTGATGATTGAACTTGCCCTTTACTGTCTCCACTTTACCCATTTGCCATGTACTCTTAGAGTACTCTTATCCAAGTTGTTTTCTATAACTGGTACCATCTTGAATGTGTGGTGCTTAATCAGCCAATCAATAAGCTTGTATTTTGCTAAGCGCTGGGGATACAGCTTGTGTATATGGAGGGGCATACAAGATAAATATAGAGACATATAAGGTCGTCTTAGAAAAGAAAGCACTTAGCAGCTTCGGAGATCCGAGAAAGGCTTCCTGCAGTAGATAGTATTTGAGCTGAATCTCAAGGAAGCCAGGGAGTCTTGGGAATGAAGAGAGTGGTACACTGAGGGCATGAGCCAATTCAAAGGCTAAGAGATGGGGTCAATGGAGGTCATGTGTGAAGAACAGCCAGTGTGGCTAGACCTTCAAGTACTTAGAGAATGTGTAAGTAGACTGGAAGGATAGGAAGGGCCCAGGTGGTGGAGAACTTTAATACAGCTTTATAGGCCTTCCTCTCTTCATCCTGACTCAGAGAAGGAAACTAATCAGGGGAGTGTTGTAAAAGATTTTTGTTTTTTTCCCCTGCCCAGGTCACCTGCTCCCTTCTCTTTGCTCTTGGTGTAGCTGCTATAGGCTCTTTTCAGTTTGGCTACAACACTGGCGTCATTAATGCTCCTGAGCAGGTAATAACTCAGGCGTCTAGTAAATAGAATTAGTGAAGTCAGTCCCCATTCCCTCCTTCCTAACTTTAAGGTGGCCAAGAGCTCAGAATTGGGTGGGGGAGAGGGGTGGGGGGGGAGGGGAAGACACAAGACCTCAGATTCACAGTGAGGAAGGAGGAAGAACAATCTTAGTATTTCTTGCAGAGTCATTTGGACCATGGCAAAATTATTTATTTCTTTGCTTAACTTTAGACAGCAGCCATGTACTCTTACTCTGTGGTGAATCACCACCATGTCCTTTAGCCCATAAGGAAGTTTACAGTAGCTCTCCAGTGCTGCCATCTGCTGAAAGCCTGTATGTAGACTGAAAACTGGAGCACAGAGGAAACAAGCCTGAAAGTCCTAGTCCCAGCCTTACTTCCAGCTTTTTTTTTTAACCCTATGTCTTTGGGGAAAATTGCTTAGGTTTTGCTACCTATTAAAGCAAGAAAATTACAGATTTTACCCTACTCTCCTCCCTCACCTGCTATAGCAAAATGTAATCCAGCCTTGGTTTCTTTTACAGATCATTAAGGAATTTATCAATCACACTTTGCAAGATAGGACCGGTGAGCCGACCTCTGAGGTTCTACTCACCTCACTTTGGTCCTTGTCTGTGTCCATCTTCTCAGTGGGTGGAATGATTGGCTCTTTCTCTGTTGGACTCTTCGTCAACCGATTTGGCAGGTATTACTCCAAACCAGTGTAGAAAGAAGGGGTTGCTATATAAGATAAAAGGGCTAGCTGATGTTAGTTAGTTAATTGGTTAATCCAAAAACATGTGGATTTCTGAAAAGGAGCCAGCATTAGGCTTGACCACAATTAAGCCTCATTAACAATTCTAGAGAATAGTTAATGGTCATTGACATTTATTAACTCATTTCAGCTTTCCAACAACCCTTTGAAATAAATACTGATATTAGTTTAAGCCTTTTCTCAGACGAGGAAATTGAGGATCAACCCACATGATTTACCTGAAAGCCACACAGCTAGTTAAGTTTTTGAGGCAAGATTATCTCTTGGTTCCAAGTCTGTAACTGCACTGTAAAGACATAGTTTTCATCCTGGTATATTTGGAACTGCTTGGAATATTTTATATTTGCCTTCATATCCTGAGTCAGGCTTATTTCAGTGTTATGTACCATATAGAGCAATTATGGTGTTTTTGGTGAGAATCTGGTTTCTATAATAGTTAACATTTATAGAGTACTTGCTGTATGCCAGGCACTGCTAAATGCTTTACAATTATATTATCCCCATTTTACAGATGAGGAACTTGAGGCAGAGGTTAAGTGACTTGCCCAGGGTTACACAGCTAGTAAGTGTCTGAGGCTGGATTTGAACTAAGATTTTCCAAACTCCAGGACCAGTGATCACTGTGCCACCTAGTTGCCTGTCATTTCTCAGTGTGAGTAGGTGGCTTACTCCTTAAGACCTACTTCCCTCCATTTTTTTGTTGGGCCTTCCTGTGGTCTTTAAGAACATGTGTTTCCCTCTCTACAGGTCGCTCTTAAGACAGCCTTATAACAGAATTGGGGTGGGCAGGGAACAGTCCGACAAAACTTTAAAAAAGGTCTGACATTAAATGCAATGCTCCACACTTAGTGTTGCCTTCTTTCTCATCTCTCATTAGGGGCTGAGCTTGGTCGTTACAGCTTCATAGCATTGCTTTTATTATGTACTTTCTTTTGATGTGGCAGTCATTATCTTTCCTTAGCACTATTTTCCCATACTTTTGGAGTAATTGTATTCCTTGTTCTTATAGAACATTAATTAATAATTCAATTACATTCTCATACTTGTTTGTCTTTATTATTACAAAAAAGTACTTCTATAATTATTTTGGTGTATAAGGAAGCCTTTTTTTTTTTGTCATTGTTGACCTTGGGGCATACACCAAGTGGTGCCATCTCTAGATTAAAGGAAATAGATATTTTGGTCCCCTTAGTTTAGTATAATTCCAAATTGCTTTCCAGAATGGTGGGACCAATTAATTCACAGCTCTGTTAACAGTGCTTTAGTATATCTGTTTTTCCTCAACCCTGCCAACACTGATTAGTCCCATCATTTGTCATTGTAGCTAATTTCTCAGGTGAGAGGTAAAACCTCGAGAGTTAATTTGGTTTCGTCTTATTGGGATTGGAGCATTCTTTCACTCAGTGTGGTTGTTAGTAGTTTGGGATTCTTTTCATACCTTTTAACCACTAATCTATTGGGAAATGGCTTTTGATCTTATATATTTCTTTTAGTTGTGCATGTACCTCATCGATTCCTTTACATTATTTCCATAACCTGTTCCTTACCACATTCTTAAAGGAAATACTTACTTTCAACCAGCTTTAGAGGGGAGAAAGTATAGATGAAATGGTTGTCCTTTTGGTCTTTTGTAGGCATATAATTACCATGATCCCCATTTTACAAAGGAAGAAACTGGGCTTAATGAGGGAATATGACTTGTCTTGTGGCCAAATGTATAAGAATTAGGGGCCCCATCTAAGTCTTATTTTCACTATCTCTCAGAGCAGAGCCATTTGGCAATATGTTTTCTTTGCTTTTGCCCAATAGGGCTTATGATCTAAGATTAGGCAGAAGATGGAAAATGTTATCAGTTGCCATCTGAGGCTTGGCTAATACTATGTCTTACCAAACAAACTACTTCAGTAGAGGAACTGAAGGAGCCAATTTACAGACTGGAAGGGGAATTCTTTTTGAACAATCCATAATCTGTCTATTGATTGCCCAGTCTTTGGCCTAGTCATACGTATGGGAAAGACTCTTAATGGAGAGAAGAGGTTAAAGAGAATGAGATAAAAAAGGAACAAAAAGTGAGAGGAAGGAATGAGGACCAAAGAATAAAAAAAACACAGGAAATATATGGAGGAAATAAACTAAGGAAACTCAGAGGAAGACAGTAGGGATAGGAGAGAAAGCAAAACAAAGGACTAGACAAACCATACTTACTTACAGTTATCTCCTTCCTTCTATAGACGCAACTCCATGCTCATTGTCAATTCCCTAGCACTTGTTGGAGGTGCCTTCTTGGGCTTCTCAAAGTCTGCAGGATCAGTGGAGATGCTGATCCTGGGCCGTTTGATCATTGGCCTCTTCTGTGGACTTAGCACTGGCCTTGTACCCATATATATTGGAGAGGTCTCCCCAACTCACCTTCGTGGAGCCTTTGGTACCCTGCACCAGCTGGGTGTTGTTGTGGGGATCCTTGTTGCACAGGTATTCCTTATGTTCTCATTTTAACTGGGTGGAAGTGGGTGAGGGAAGGTACAAGGGACCTTATTTTTACCTTTTCAGTTTTGTTCCTCAAATAGATTCATGTACACTAAGAATCACTGGCTTGTTTCATTATTGATACTGACAAGGCCTGATGAGTTATTAGTTTATTATTAGATCCAGGAAGGTAAAGCTTTTTTTGTGTGTGATTTAAGATCTTGGGCTAACATGGCTAATGAAGGTAGGGTAGAGAAGATTTAAAAAAATAGATTGTACCTTTCACTGTAGGAAAAGGATTTTTAAATAACTAAACTGTAACTATTCAATTTCACCAGAACACATTGAGAGCTTGTCTTTGAATGTGCACTTTAAGAGGTTCCTTGGACTATGTAACTTAGTTCATGTTTTTGGATCCTTAGATATTTGGGCTAAATTACATCATGGGAACTGAGACTCTCTGGCCATTGTTATTAGGCTTTACCATCATCCCTACTGTTCTGCAAAGTATAGCCCTCCCATTGTGCCCTGAAAGCCCCAGATTCCTACTTATCAATAAGATGGAAGAGGAGCAGGCCCGAAAGAGTAAGTACTAAGTAACATCTTTGAGGTAATAACACCGGGAACCTGCATGTATGACCTGAGACTGTTTACTTCCTACCCTCCCTCGAGAGTAGTTTCTTTAAATTACAAGTTTTGGGAGGATCCCAACTTAGTGACACCCCTAAAACATGACAAGATGGAATTGGGCCAAAAAGCTTGATCTTGATTTGCCTGGTCTCTTCCCAGTCCACCCTTTAGGAAAAATGAATTTGGATAAGCTAATTTATTCCCTTTTCCTATTTCCAGTTCTTGAGAAATTATGGGGCACCCAAGACGTAGGCCAGGATATCGAGGAAATGAAGAGTGAGAGTGCTAAAATGGCACAAGAAAAGAAACCAACTGTGCCAGACCTCTTTAGGACACCAAATTATAGACAACCTATTATCATTGCCATCATGCTCCAGTTTTCTCAACAGCTCTCTGGAATTAATGCTGTGAGTACCTAAATCCATCAATTACTTGTATTAATGTCATGGTTTTTCTGGTTCATTCTTTCTCTTTATTAATGTTAATGACAATAATTGATAGTAGTGACTGACTGTAGGTTAGTCCTGTATCCTCAGTTTACAGATGAGGAAACTTGGTCTCAGAGGATAATTGACTCACTCCCTGGCTCTAGGTTTATCATGTGTCCACTGTGGCTCTCTGCCTCTTTATTCTTCTTGTTCTGTCTGGCCATTTCCTTCCTAACCCTCTGGAATGCTTTTCCAGTACAAAAAATAGGTTCACAGAGTAGGCTGTGTCCTTCCTAGTGAAAGAAGGACCCTTCCTGTGGTAGGCCTCAATGAGAGGTAGCTTTTATCAGTTGTTTTTATAAGCATTAATTACACTTTAAGTTGAGTACCCTATGCTATGTAGGGCAGGGAAAAAAGAAAAGCTACGGGGGACTTAAAAAAAAATACAAGTCAAGTTTTGAGGACCAGAGGGGAAATCCAACCAGGGTACTTAAGTGATAATGACATTGTAATTATTTTTAAAACTTTTTGTTTTATTGCCTTAAATTTTTACACAAGTCATTTCCTCTTAGCAAGTCACTTCCTCTTAACTCATCTCCTGCCTTCCCTTTTAACAAAGAAAAGAATTAAACAAAAACCACACTGCAACTGAGGCATTCCCTTGTGTTTCTGTTGAGTTGAGGCATGTGTGTTTCATTATCAATTCTCCTGGATTAGGACTGAGATTATGCTTTACAATTCAAGAGCACTGCTTTTCAATGCTGTTATTTACATTATTGTTGTCATTGTCTAGATTCAATAAGTTCTTTCTTTCTGTCACTTCCATATGAAGTTCAAGCTATCAAAGCTTATACAATATTATATAATAACTTTGACAACAGAAAGACACTGAGTCAGAGACTAAATAAGTGTATTTGCTAATTGGTTCTTTAGATGCTTAAGTTAGGATAACAGTACAGTATTCCTTAAGTCTTTCACTGAAGTGCTGATGGATATTTGAGTCATTTTTAATAAGGATCATAACTTCAATTGGTCTATTACTTTACCATTTAGAAGACTGTCATTTAGTAGCAATACATCAACAAAGAAGAGTGCCTAAGAATTATGGAAGTGGGATCATTAACAAGCAGATACTTGATTGGTTATGGAAAACAATGATTGTTCCAAAGATGAATGGGATTAAGTTACTTTGGGTTCTAGTTCTGGTTATATTGTTAACTAATTTTTGTACCTAAGGATGGGCTAGTTATTCACTTAATAGTACCTTCCAATTTACTTGGCATTATTTTGAAGCTCAAATAAAAAGCAATTGTGAAAGCATTTTGTCTTAAGTGGGAAAACTATATAAATAAACCTATAGCCAGGTTGTTCAAAAAAATTATCTCAGAAGGGTGAAACCGAATTAAGGAAATAAGACTGACGTATATCAGTATGAACACCTAGGATAAGTCCTTTGGATGGAGGGAAGGTCGAGGACTCAGGGGGAAGGGGAATTGATTGTGAATTTATTGTTTAGAGCTCACTGAAGTTTCCAGAGCCTTCTTTCTAACATGGTCACCTCCTCTTTTTCCACCCCAATTAGGTATTCTATTATTCTACAGGAATCTTTACTGATGCTGGTGTTAAAGAGCCAGTATATGCTACTGTTGGTGCTGGTGCGGTTAATGTGGTATTTACTGTAGTTTCGGGGTGAGTTGGACATTTTGAATTTGGGGACAAGAAAAGAAAAGAAACTTCTGGGGTAGGTGTTGAGGTTGGATTATATTGATCTTGGGGTTTTGTGCCATAGTTAAAACAAGAACTGAAGCATCAATGCTTTTGGGAGAAGGGCATGGGAAATAAGTAAATTCTAGAGGTGAAGTGATTGAACAGAATAGAGGTAACAGAAAAGAGATTCCAATATTGGAAAAATGTAATGGAGAGAAGGGAAGGGAAATAAAGGGTGACAACAACAGGATATAGCTGAATACTTAGAACCCAGCTTTAGAGGTAAGGAAGATAAGAACACCAAGCAGGGAGTCAAGCATATTGTGTAGGGTGTATTGAATTGGGGAATGCCAACAACTCCTGACCATAGACTATATTGAGTAGAAAGCACTGTTTTTAAGGCAGAGAAGAAGCAAAGGTTTCATTTGTTGTTATTCTCCTAGCTCTTTCTGGTGGAGCGAGCAGGAAGGAGAACTCTCCATCTAACAGGACTGGGTGGGATGGCCGTGTGCACTGTTCTTATGGTTATTTCCATGTCTCTCAAGGTGAGTTCTTTGTGAGAGGGAAAAGGGACAACTTGGGCTGTCTTGCTTGTATTATTCTCATTCTTAGCTTCTTGCTGTTCCTCATTTAGTCTACTCATTTGTGGATGAGCTATATCTGTATCGTGGCTACCTTTGGCTATGTGGCCCTCTTTGAGATTGGACCAGGCCCCATTCCTTGGTTCATTGTGGCTGAGCTCTTCAGCCAAGGCCCCCGCCCAGCTGCTATGGCTGTGGCTGGCTGTTGCAACTGGACCTCTAACTTCCTTGTGGGGATGCTCTTCCCACATGCTGCGGTAAGTGAGCTCTATCCTTATCAAATCTTGCTTGAAACTAGTGTTAGCTCAATTAGGATTAGATGAACAAGTTATGGGTATCTTGAGAAAGAATACAATACTGCCTCAGGTACTCACTTTACTAGCTGGGTGGCCCAAGCACTTCTTGGTGTACCTCAGAGATCACTCTGTTTATTCACATTATAAAAATAAAACCCAAATTACTCCCATCCCTAAATCTCAAAAGACATTTGAAGATAGGATTCATAAGGGACTGGGAATTGGTACAAAGGTAGATTTAGAGGGCTTAGGATTTTAGTCCCAAATCTTGGAAGGGTTCCCATCCAGTCTGTATTTTCCACAAAAAAGAAAAAAGTCATGACTATCATTATTACCATAGAGGGGGAGGCCTGGTTCTTGGTCTGAGAATAAACTTTGACTGATTTTGTTTTTTCCCTTCTTTAGAAATATTTGGGATCCTACGTCTTTATTGTCTTTACCTTCTTCCTCATCTTATTCTTTCTGTTCACCTTCTTCAAAGTCCCGGAGACGAAGGGCAGAACTTTTGAGAATATTACCCAGGTCTTTGAGACCAAAAGTCAGGGTGCCATCAGCCCAACCTTAATGGCAGAGAAAGGCCCCATTGTGGATATGAACAGTATTGATCCAGCCAAGGAATCCTCAACCTCCGCTCTCTAAAATCCCACCTTCCACACTTCTTCCAGTCTCCCAACATGGAAAAGCAACATCTCCCTGAGGTGGAAGGGCCCTCATCAGGATATCTATAGCCTAGGACTGTTTCTGATTGCTGCTACTGTTTCTTTTTCACCTTACTCCATGAGCACTGAGATGAACCTAGTATTGGAGTCAACTTAGCTTCATCAGCTTTTAAGCATTCAATATCTTGGTCACTGTCTGTACTCTGCTAAACAGAAATCAGGTGAACTTGCCCTCGGTTCTGGAGGGATCTGCTCCTTGGCACTTGTGCCAGCCTTTGCCACCTCTTCATTTCCTTGGGTTCTAATGATGATTCATTGAGGTTCCTGGGAATCGGAAGAGTGGGTGTAATCTCATCCCAATAACTATAAGAGTTGTTTCAGTAGTATGTAGGAGTTAGGTGTAGGAGAAAGGTTGGGGACCAAATAGGAGAGTATCTTCCTCACTTTTTTTTTAAAAAACAACTCTGCAGAGTGCATTAACTTGAGTTTTTATTTATTTTATCTGCCGGTTTTATTTCATAATTTTTTTTTTTAGTGTAAAAAAAAGGATTGTATAAAATAATAAACTGTTGAGGGCAGAGAGAAGAGAAAAGGGGTATAAATTTAAACAAAGGACTGGAGGAGGAGTAGAAATTATTTTGGAGGAGTTGACGCAATAAGGATCGAAGAAATACAGGGAGAGTTGGAGTAGCGCATTAAAGGGCATGTGAAATGGTACCGGGGGTTTTCATATGACCTTTAGCAATTTCTGTACTCCATGAAAATGATAATAAACTTGAAATAAGTCAGGTAGTATTTGTGTTGCCTGCAAAAGCTACTGGTTTCCTTTGGGATTTTTTTCCTTATTTTTCTTTTTGGTTAAACTATATAATATTACTTGGAAACTGTAATATTGTTGACATCATAGGCAGTGAAGTTGAATGCGGTTGGTGGGTTCTACCTCTGGAGGAAGATGGATTTTCTCACTGAAAACTCCCCCTCCCACCAGATGGAACTCCTTTCACTTTATAGCTTTTATTTTTTTTCCTTCCCTTTTGATGGGAAAATAGTGTTGTGGGTTGTTTCTTAATACAGAAAGGCAAACTTTTCCTTGTTTTTGTTCTTTGGGATTTTCTTAGGCTTTGGGTTTCTTTGGTTTTCCCCACCCTTAAATCCCAACAGGCATTTGAGGACAAGATTTAAGGGGTATTATTCACAGAGGCCTAGAAATTGGTATGGAGGTAGAATATGGGGCTAAGGGTTTGAGTTCTAGGGTTTTGTTTTGGTTTTTGCCTGTACTTCCTCATTTGAAGTGAAGAAATGGTCATGGCTTTCTTGTAAATATGTGTTTGCATCACTCCACTACAGAAGATTTGGATGAGGTAATAGAAGGCTTACTCAGAGTTCACATTTAATTTAGATAGTAACAACATATGTTTAATGTCATTTTTTTCTCCAGGGGCAAATGTGTTCATGAACATATTATTGCTGTTATGATTTATGTATTACTACTCATTCCTTCTGGATGGGATAATTCTGGTAGTTTAAACAACTACTGCCTTGGCTGGATGTGATTTAGTCACCCTCCCTTGAATCTTAAGTGCCCTGAGACAGACGGACAGACACAGACACACACACACACATGCACACCTTCCACCTTCCTCGATGCTGGCTAAATTGTATTCCAATGAATCACCAATTACAGTCCCTTGCTTAGGATGAAGTAGCCTTTAGTGAGTTTTACCAGTTTAGATAAAATGGAAGGGAAAGATGCTCTGAGTATTTAAGAGGTTCAGGACCGAGAGAAGGCTTGACCTATGTTGGCAAAATGGGTATGGAAGGGCAATAAGCTTAATAATTACCTGAATTGTAAAAGGAAGGGAGGATAACAAGATATTACTGCTGATGAAGTGATGAAAGTAGATCTTTAAATCTACGGGCTTTCTTCTTCCAGAAACTTTGAGGGTTTGCCTTTGGTGCTTACCTCCTCCTGACCCACTTTGCCTGTGGACAATATTTAGTTCTCAATTCTCACTTTACTCTGGTCATTGGCAGGGAGGATAGATATATATGTATATACGTATATGTGTACATATATGTGTATATATGCAGTAGTTGACTAAAGAAAACTCATTTGCTCTCTGGTTCTACCCTGTTGCTTCCTAGATCCCCAGGTAGAACTAGGGTCTGGGATTGGCAGTAGTAGAGCTTAACTGTTTCTCCCTCCTTTTTCTCCATAGCCACATTGTAAATATTTCCAAATGTGTTTTCTATGCTTATTACTGTTACTGTGGTTCTGTTTTTAAATAAAAGTTTTATTGTAAATATGGTATCATGATCTCTCTGCGTATTATTTGAAGGTTTGTGTGCCCTTTCTTTTGTGGGTTAAACCCACAAACCCACAACCCAGAAGCCTAACATGAGTATAAATATAGGTATAATTCGTACTGATACCTTGTATTTTGCATCACCATGATTAGGAAGAAACAGAGAAAAAAGCTTAAGGCCTGAACAATACTTTTTTTTTGTATTTATTTGTTTGTTTGCTTTTTGCTGAGGCAGTAGGGGTTAAGTGATTTGCCCAGGGTCACCCAGCTGTCAAGGGTCTGAGGTCGGATTTGAACTCAGGTCCTCCTGACTCCAAGGGTAGAGCTCTATCCACTGTACCATCTAGCTGCCCCCTCAATATCTTAGACAAATATTCAGTTCAATATCTTTGGCACAGTTAGTTCTTCATGGTGTAAGTGCAGAGAATTGAACTTGGGGTCAGGAGTGCAGATTTGGAATTCTGACTTAAGGCCTAGCTTTTGCACTTGGTAGTCATGTGATCAAGGGAAAGTCACTTGACCTCTTTATTTTTTTCTTACTTAGTTTATTTTTCCCCAGTTACCTGTAAAAATATATTTTTTTAAACATTCATTCTTAAAACTTTGTTCCAAATTCTCTCCCTCTCCATTTCCCCTTCATTAGGAAAGCAAGCAATTCAATATAGATTATACGTGTATAGTCATGCAAAACATTTCCATAATAGTCACGTTCCTGACTTCTTTAAAACTTTTCTTATCTTTAAAATGGTCCGATGATATTTGTAATAGTGTCCTTCATAGGAATGTGAAGAAGATACTTTTAAAATTGCAAATATGGGCTAATGGGTGGAAATCAGGAGGCTTAACTCTGAATCATAGTTTAAAACATAAGAATGACATCTTCCTGGCCGAGGACCAAGTCTGCTAAGAATGTAATTGCAAATACAGTCAAAAGGGCCTTTAAACTGAAAGGGAAGGAGAGAGAAAACTGCTTTCTTATCTGACACTGGTAACCTGCTGTTCTCAAGGGGCTGGGGCAGTACGGCTCTTCTCTCCACTGAAGAGACCCCACTGCTCTGGACCCACACATGTATGGCAGACCAAGCTGAGTCCTTGGGAAGCCTGGCCGCTAATGAAAGGTGTTAAACTCCAGTTTCTCATATTTGTCTCCACACTGGTATTCCTTGGAAACTTAAATATCAGGTTTGACTCGTTCTAGGGTCTACACAAAAGAGGAGTGGAAAAGTACTTAGGGGACGGTTATTTCCAAGACATAATAGAGTAAACCTTTTTTAAGCACCTACTATGTGTCGGGCACTTTGTTAAATGGTGGGGATACAAATGAAAAGGAAAGACAGTCCCTGCCCTCAAAGAGCTTCCAATCTTCTTGAGGAGGAAGACAACCCAAAAGGAATGCCAGAGGGTACCCAGTGATAGTGGGCCAAGCAGAGCAACTGGTAATAACCTGAGAGGAGCTCTCTAAAGGGAAGCGATGGGAGGAGTTTTTTGCTGTGCCCTTAGTCCTCCCCTGTAGAGGCAGAAGCAACTGAGTTACTGATTAGGTATGAGTAGTAAACAAGCAATTTTCAAGATGATTTTATCCTTGGTAGGGCTTGACAGATGATCGTGAAGTCAAAACCAAACAATAACTGGTAGAGTTTAAATGTCAAATACAAATTCCCACATTGACAAAGACTTAAAACATGATTCAGAAACTTGGAACTATTATATCCTCTTAGAAATGAAGACAAACCTCATCAGAACATAAAGCAGTTTGCAGGACTGCCAAATAAGAAATTCACAGTTAATCACATCTAGACTTTCCCCAACATGGTTTAGATATATTGCAGGTACACATAAGAAATTGGAGTTTTTGGAGAGTTTTGCAGAAGCCACAGACAACAGTGAAGCATAGGTCTCCAAAATGATACTACCCCCAGGGGAGGGAGGGGGCACTGGAACGATGGGGGGGGGAGGTTCCTGGTGGTAGTAGCTTCAGGTACAATTGGGAAGGCATTGAATAAAAATAAGGGTTAACCCCCAGCAGGGTGCTGAGTAATTTTTTTTAAAAAGGGGTGGTAGGTCTAATAAGTTCCAGAATCTCTAAGTCATGAAGGCCACCAAATGACACAGAAAAAATTTAGAAACTCAGAAATGCATAAAATATATGTATAGCATAATATCAACATTTTATGTTTTAATACCAGAAGAATTCAGACTTCTCTGCTAACGAAGGGAGGCCCAAAAATTTTTACTCAGATTTTCTAGATCCAAGGGGCACCGTGACTTAACCTAGGTGTGGAAAGGATTATTATATTTTGTCTGGACTCTTAACTGCTCCCTGGCATGAAATAGATGTCTTCTAGAAAACTAGGCTCATTCTTTGGTGGGTGGTCATCTTCCTCAAGAATGCTGAAGTAGTTTCCAGGAACTATTTCCAAAGCGAAGCTGGGACCTACTGATTGAGTTCAAATATACTTCCTTGTGTTAGAATCTCTAGAGTCCCTTGTTCACTACATATATACCTTGTGCCTTTGTATATAAGTATCTGAAGCCATGTGTCATTTCTCTTTCAATTATCACCTCTTTGATTTTGTTATTATAGTTATCTCTTTCACATCTTGAGGAGTTAGGGGTGTGGTGCCCTTGGGATCTGGAAAGTCCAAGGGCAGCTAGGTGGCAGCTAGGTGGCACAATGGATAGAGCACTGGCCCTGGATTCAGAAGGACCTGAGTTCAAATCCAGCCTCAGACACATAACACTTAGTACCTCTGTGACCCTGGGCAAGTCGCTTAACCCTGATCGCCTCACCAAAAAGCAAAAAAAAAAAAAAAGAGAAAGAGATCTGGAAAGTCCATTTAAAACTTTTTGGCCTTCCCTTCATACTAGAGAAGTCTGTATTTATTAAAAGATGAAATATGTTGATATTATACTATTGTATATTTTATGCATTTCTGAGTTTCTAAACTTTTTCTTTATTGTCTGCTGGCATTTGTTGCCTGCAGCTTCCTCAAAACTCAAAAAACTGCCATTTAATTTCTTATGCGAACTGGCAATATATTGAAACCAAGATGGGTAAAGCTGAGGTGTGGAAAGGAAAACTGTATGTGGAAATGCTGTTGATTTTTTGGATTTTTGCTGAAGCTATTAATATCCTTATTAGGAATAATTTTAAGATAAAAATTTCTTTTTTTTAACGGCCCTATGGATTTTTTTATTAATTTATTT